ATTTTCCCAAAAATATTATTTATCCCTTTTGGAGTCTGATAGTTAGTTAAAATGTTGAAAAAGTATCAGATCGATAGGAGTATTTTTGAACGAGTGAGGCCTTCTTAAATATGGGTAATATTTTGGGCTGTTCACACYGGTCCAGAGCGAACCGGAAGTCGAGTTTTAGATTTTCGTAAAATTCGCCAAAATAAAAAAGCGCTCGAAGTTTTAAACTGGATTTTTTAAAAGAGCTTACCAAAGGTTGTCTTCTGACAAAATATGAGAAATTTGAAAATTCCTTCGCTGTCCCGCCATTCTCGACCGTTACGGACAGCCACTCTTAATACTGATTTTTACCCATTCTAAACATTTTTGATATGGTAGACGTTACAATTTTTCACTGCAACAAAATTGTGTCACCAGCATGAGAAAAAATTGCAGCATGTATAGGCAGCTTTATGATGATTTGCTAAATAAGTTTTAGGTGGGTTATACCTTTTTTCTGGCCAGTCAAAACTTTTAAGTAACAAACTTATCACTCCAAATTGAATCTGATAATGGACTATCACTCTTTCTTTCCGTTTCACACAATCTTTTTACTATCTAAATGGTTTCCTCTAGGTAACTTAAGAGTCTTAAAAGCAGTATAGTTTCAATTACCAGATATGAAGTAGCAAATCCGTACAAAATACACACGTAAACTTTATACAGCTTGGACTTAAGTGCTCAGCGAAAAATTTTAATAGCTTTTCGAGAGCAGCTATTAGGAGTAACCCTGTAAAACGCTATCATGTACTCATAAACTGCCCACTTCCCACACAAACTGGAATACATTGAAATTAAAATTGGATTTTGAGTGTGTGCCTGTGTGGGTTGGGGATGGGGTGGGGTGGGGTGGAGGAGGAGATGGACGTAGGTAGCAGATCATTCTTTATAGAACCAAGCATCATATTCATTAATGCAAGAGATGCTATTTCGCATGAATTTTAGAGGCATTTTTCAATGACAAATCAAGAGCACTGCAGGGGTGCATATTCTACTGAAGTATATTCTTTAGAAATACTAAAATATTAAAGCCGACACAAAAGCTGTTGGTTTTCAATTATAGAATGTAGGATTTAATGGAATAAGTAATAAAGGTTTTACTCAAATACTTAAAATTGGAGGAAGATTTTAGTAAGAAGTGGGTACATCAAGTTGAGAGACCAGTTGAATTAATTTGAAAATGATTTTGAAAGTAAAATTTGTATATTTTTACGACAGTAAAAAACATTTACCACTTTTCTGCATACAGACTAAAAGGCTGAACAAAAGTTTTTCTCTTCTGTCCAACAGCTCATAACTGCGAGTTGCCTAGCAACTAAGGTACATGACTCTTAAACACATCTCCACTGATAATGTCAGTAAAAGCATGGAACAGCTATGATAATGCACGATGAACAACATTAAAATGTCAATAAAGGCATTAAAACTGCCTATTCATTAAAGCCATTAAACTTGAAAATGGGCTAAGCTTCCTTACATATGGTACATAAGTAAAGGAGTGGGTGTAGATGATAAAGTTAAAACATTATTTTGGCATTCAATATATGATGTAATGCATATTTCTTTGATAAAAAAAGTGTTGACAAAGACATGCTATTTTTGAAAAAACCGCAAGTCGGTAGCATAAAGAAAAGCGATAGTCGTTCATGACGCCGGTCGAACCATATCAAACACCGGCAAAATGACTTCAAACTTATCTTTATTAAAAGATCAATGTTAATAACCGACATTTGAGAATAATATCCTTGGCTCGTACGCAAAGCTCCTTCATAACCGGTGATTGTTAAAATATATTTAGTTAGCGCCAAATATCTGACACAATTTCAAGTAAATGACAAAAAATGTCAAATTATGAGCCGTGCAAATGTGAAGTGGTCTCCAAAATATTCAAAAGGCGCAAAGCTGATGGAAAAAATCTCGCTAAAATTTACACCAGAGGTAAGAAATATAACTATTCAATATTAGGGGTTGTGATATTAATGTTTTAAGGGTTAAAAATTACGAATTTAACGCTCACCTCAGTCATAAAACTTGAAAAAGCTGTCTCTCCTTGGGCCGCCATCTTGGATTATCGGTATACACCGCTGCTCTAAGCTACCATTAACAGCAGTCGCGCAATATTACCCATGGGTCCTTGCGCGTTACGAATCGCAGTTAAAGCGGTAGATAAATTAAATTATCCTCCCAGTTGGGTCTTTTTGCGATAAAATGATTTCCTTGTTAACTTGGTATCTCTTTTTTTTGAGCAGAAAGAGTATTTGAAAAAAAGAGCAAGGGTTATTGAATTATTTGTGCGCGTTCTCGTTTCAGACTTTCTCGACTTATGCTAATGAGTATAGGAATAGTACCCAGTCTCTGTTGTTAATCACGCACATGTTTGGTGTTCGTTGGCTGGCAAACACTTGATTGTGAATTCTCCCGTGTTTTTTATGTGTTTTTCTTTTTTTCACTAACCCTAACAGCAACCATGTCTTGCACTGCCTCAAATGAATACCTTAACGAATTACTCAACGACAAAACCACCGTCTCGAAAATGCCAAAGATATTTCTCCACGCAGAGCGATTGCTTGACCAAGGTATGGATAGAAAGCAACTACTACTACATACCCTCCCCTAACTATAAATTTAACTACCTCACCGATGTAATATATAATAATAACAGCAATTACGATAAATAATCGCCATCACACCATCAATAATCTGCAACAACCGTGCTTAAAGTAACATTTAGGGTAATTTCTAACTATATATTACGGGGATAACAAAAAACCCTTCCAACTTTGAGCGTTGGTCCTTCTCCACCGACCGATCATGGACCGTCCCGTCTGTGCCACTGAACCGAGAGAAGCGATTTATTGTTTACTCGGAACGACTACCAGCCTTAAAAAAGCCTTGAGCGAAGCCGAGAGCGTCGTTGATGACGGCGTTTTAACCCAGGTTTGTTCTTTATGAGTTTGCACTTATTTTTGTCTAATTATTACAGAGGAAGTAACGTAGATTTTCTTGAATGCGTGGCAAAATTTGATGCTCGATCCTTCGTTGTTTGGGTCGGGCTGCTCGAAGACTTTACTACGTATCTCAACAGTATTTTGCCTTTCTAGAAATCATTACTTACTCTATGTCCAGTCAATTTGTGTTTTTTTAACTAACTAACTTAAAAAGGCACGCTTTTGTTTATATTTGATTATGGTTATACTGGTTCGAAATTCTTCTTTCGCAGTTGGGGTCTTTGAATATTTCATCCAACGCCGACCAAGCATTACCTTAGATATCACTTAAAAACCTAACTAAGAACTCCCAAATTGCGCTAAATATGGCTGATTTGAACTCCGAATGAGCTCCGATCGCATAGATATTAAAACCATTAGCAAGAAAAACTACTATTTCCTTAGCTTTGATTCCCCAATATGTCTTTCATAGACTCATCGCGCAGGATGGAGCCAGAAATTCATTTGAATTTCTCTCGAATAAAAATATACATGTCGAGCAATGGTTTGGGCATTCTCGGCAATCTGTGTCAATAAAACAATCTGGTGTTTTTTTGTTTGTATTTCTCGCTAGCCTAAACGATTCTCCTCGGTTGGGAAAACAATCTCTCAGCCATGAAATATGAATTAGAAGACTTATCTTTCTTGATCCATTAGACCGAAACACACCGAGAATCGAGCGCTGGTACTTTTGAACACGAGCATATTTAAATTTTATTTGGTTAATTAAAACCCGATTGCCCCGATTCTACTATTTAACGCTTTTTGCGTGTATACTCAATTGAAATCGTGTAAAAAAGACATTTTAAATCGTTAAAAAAATCGTTCTACGATAAAACATTCTACTGGATGCAAAATAAGCTTACAGGGCCGGTAATTTGTCGAAGGGGTTTTCGAGAGACCGCTTTTTGGCACGGATTTCTTATTTTTCCTGCTGTTATTTGATTTTCATCCAGCAATTTTGTGTTTTGAGTCTCATGGGGCGATCAGTAAGATTAGCGGCGTTCCATGATCAATCCGAGGATGGATTAATATTCGATTTGAGGTCGAGAGGGAAGAGAGGTGAGATAGGTACGCAAAACATTCGTGTCCGTGTAACCAAATACGTTACTGATAATACAGAGTTTACTTACAACCATTTGGAGAATGTTGTTCTCGTCAGGATGAATTTTAGTATTGGTAGTCCGAACGTCAGTAACTAAATCATAAACTATTGTCTATTTTGATTACATTCAATCTTCTAAATGTTCAATCGAGTTTAAACTACGTATTTTAAACCTTTCTTTCACTCTATACAGAATCGTTGTCGTTCTTGTGAATAATTGTACCAATTCGTCGTCAAAAAAGTCCAAAAAATAATACTACTAGTGAATAGAAATATCATTATCCAACACCTGCTGCTTTTTTAAAAGGTTTTCTCGATCACAAGCTAGTTTTATTTTGTGGCTATTTTTTATTGTCATTGTTGTCAAGCCTGGTACTTGCGGATCCATGAAACTTTAATAGCGACCATTTTGGAGCCAAAATATTCCTGTCATACGATACTTAGATCATATTCCCCCTCTCTCATGACAATGATTTAATCCCTCAGACTAAAATCCAAAGAATCTTTCAAATACATCAATACATTATTCCTAGATGATGTTATATTTTACCGTCGACTGAGTAATAAGTTTACTTGTATGGATTATGAAGAAATAATAGATTTTTCAGACAATATAGATTTGTATCAATTCTCTTATAGCTGTATTATTTCTAGTTTCTAATACTGAGGCCAATAATGTGTCATTCCACCTATTTTTCTTCAAGACCTTTTTTACCAGGCCTCAAATTCAACACCCAAAAAACCCTTTTTCTTAATTGAAGTATTGCCCTAGTTAGAAAGATCAAATAAAATAACCACAGCTTTAGAAAATTAAGAGTATTCAAAGTGTTATCTTTCACAGTATTTATTAAGATGTCAATTTTTGATTTGTTCTCAGTTATGGCATAGTTAGAAAATTGAAAACTCAATTCCTAGAAGCCAAATTATTCAAAATTAAGGTGGAGTGCGGAAACCACAGAATTCTTCAAACTTTTCAATTTCAAGTTTATTACTACTTTTTTACCCAAAAAAATTAAAATCATTTTTGTCGTATCCTTTTTTCTTAAAAATAATTACCTATCATAATAAATACCTTTATTGTCTAATTCACCAATTTTATTCCACTCAATAGATGTAGTTTTTGATAATGTTCTGCGAAAATTTCATCTGTTTAACTTTTATTATTGCTGTCATAAATTTGTTGTCAACTGTGCCAAAAAGCAAATAGTTTATAGACAATGGCTGAAATCTTCTGATCAAGTCAGATGTTTTCGGACACCAAGATTGAATTTTCTTGACTTTAAGTTGTCAGTTTGTTTGATCTACCAAACTATCTCTTCCATACCCTTCCATTTTTTTATCCTGTTTCTAAAACACCTGTTTTTAGTTCAGCTTGAACCTAAAAATAGTAATAAGTATAGTTATTGATTATCCTACTAGCTTTTAACATCTTCAACCATCAAAGAAAGACCAATCAACTTTGTTTAAAAAAAATTTTTTTCTCACTTTATTTTTTGCAAGGGCGTTTTAAAAATTTCATGATGTAAATATAATATGCAGTGATAAAAAGCTGATAAGACTCACCAGATAGATTCATTTTTTACCAATTTGTTGACAGTATTTCTAATTTTTCATCAGTGATTATAAATATTGCAATTGCAAATGCATGAAGGCATTTTAATATTCTAAATGGTTTTAATTTCACATGAATCTTAATTCATTTTTGTAAAAAAAAAGCGTATAATAAGTAATTTGAATGTAGTTTTTATCATCATGAATATATAAGGTAGATTTTTAGTCTTTATGTGAAATTTGAGAAAGTTTTTTTTTGTTTCATTTCAAGGATTATCTGAGAGGCAGACACTCCGCTTGCTTTTGAAATCATAAAAGATGAATGACAGTTTGGTTATGGAATTTTTATGGCATTGACTTTCAATGGAATAGGATTGTCAGACACTTTATTATTAAAGAAAACAAGTTAATTAGATATTCTATAAATTTTTACCTGTTAAATAGATCAAGAAGATCATATGATTTCTAAAAATTTTTCGATAAAAAAAGTAAATTATTTCTTGTTTCAATTGTAAGAATCCTGTTCATATTTTGTTGATGAAATTCATATATATATAGCTTTAGAAAAAATAGCATTATCATGAATGCTAGCTTTTCCTTTCAGAGATCTTATCAGCCATCAAGCTTTTTAGTCATTTCACTTTTTAATGACCCGATTCAGCTTAGCTTTGAAAGCATTGTTTGTATAGATTACTATAAGAAATAAGTTTGGTTTCATGGCTTATTTTTCCCAAATTATCCTGATAAAAAACTGAAAAACTGTTGGTTGTATTGAAGAGTCGAAAAATTGCTTAGGAACTGCTCCAATATTTCCATATGAAAAACCCTTTTGGATTTTTTTAGCCATTTAAGGAGAAGACATGTTATGCAGGAAGTTCTTGAGTCAGTGTTAAATGAACAAATGTAAACTACATTTTAATCTATCCGGAGAAACCCCCCTCGGCAAGCCAATATACTTTATCAGATAAAGGCTTAACTGACATCATATCAGCTGTTAATAAATCTGATTGTTAGGTTGGTTTCACAGCAATAATTGTCCGTCATTTAGGAAAAAATTTGATCAATATTGAAAAGAAATTTTGATGGCTTTCAGCACATTAACATTTACTTTATGCTAAGGAAATTAGATTTTTCTCTTTGTGCTCTTAACATTGATATTTTCTAATTGAATTCTTTTTTAAATAAGTCTATAAATAACTATCATTTCTCAAATTAGAAAAAATTGTATTCATTGCTCTTATATCTCTATATCTATGCAAAGCTTCTCTTCTATTTTAACAGAATTTTTTCTAAATTATTTCATATTATTGCTTGGTTTCTTTTGCTTACTTGCACATTAGATCATATGTAAATGAAGAAAATTTACTCAAAAAGGGTCTTACTTCTTRAGACCCCTTTGGTGTGATATTCAGATTGAAGACCTTTTAAACACTGTGTTAAATTTGAAGTTTTCCCAATTTTTTAAAATCAATAGACCACACCCACTACCTCTTTAAGACCCCTTTTATCTAAATATTCTTCAAATGTATTTTTCACTATATAAGTATTAAAACTATTACAGTATTATTATTATTATAGTTTGTTTTTATTTAGTCATAAATTAAAGTATCCTAGTCAACTACGATGCATTGCGGGCCATAATCAAAACAATCTGCCATTTTCTCTGCCAAGCAAAATGGCGTTTTTGTAGGTGAAGTTTGAAAATCCAGTTCCATTGGCCCTGTTATTCCTGCTAGATGCTTTAAGACAATCATAGAAGAATGACACATAGTCAATTTATGCTTTCCATGAGATTTGTTAAATTTTGGCCACGAATCTAAGGTAGATTTAGTGATGTCTAACAGTTGGACGACCGAAAAGTCATAATGTCTCAAACACAATCTCTCTGAAAAATTCAGCCTACTTGCTGTGGGCTGTGGAATGAAAGACAGAAAACTGTAGGAATTTGAAGACCTTGGCATGGCAAATAGACCATTTCACAGATCCTGCGGCTCAACCTCATCCTCATCAGCGTGTAATATATTCTTTAGAAATTGCCTGCAACCTGTGAAATTTTTAAGCGTTTCAATTGTTGGTTGATGTGTAAATTCCTTTCATTACTGCAGACTGTAGTCAAATTCTAAAGAATAATTACACACTGGCGAGGCTGAGGTTGAGCACTTTTGCTCCACCAGTGTATGGAAGAGCTCTGAGAACTGTAAGCGAATGATGTAAACAATAATATAGGAGCATCGTAGTTGTATCTGCCTTCTTAGAAATAAATAACTTAAGACTTCCCATATATGATATTGTGTTATGTTTTTCCTTTGAAGAAACAAACATAATAAGTCTGAGTTCCTGTTACGGAAAAACTTTCAATGCAAAAAATGATTGCATGGTAGAAATATCAAGTTTTTCTTTCTTTCTTTTTTTTTTCATTGAAGAAATAAACAGAACAAGAAACGAGTTATTCCATGGGATAACTAATGGTGTTGAATCAAGTGCATCAGATACGTCGATAACACTGCCGAGTCCTTCAGGACCAAGGATAAAGCTAACAGAGAAAGTATTTGCCCCCGTTAAAGAGTATCCAAAGGTACTGTTGTCATCATCTTTCATTATTTTGTGTTCTCAATGTTTCTTTTGTCAAGAGGAATCTGGGAATTAAGGGGGAATTGTCCTTTCATATTTACCAGGGTTCTGTACATTAGCCAGGGAAAAAAAACCCAGTTTTATAAAATTGTGAAGCAACCTTTGGGTTGATTTTAGTTGGCTAGTTCTTACAGCTAACTCACAGATCAAACCCTGAAACAACCTCTTTTATGACCTAAGTAAGGACATGGCTAACTCACAGATCTCACCCTGAGCAATATGATCTGTGGGCTTATCTAAGTCAGGGCATGGCTAACTCACAGATTGAACCCTGAAACAACCTCTGGGCTGATAAGTCAGGGTATGGTTCACTCACAGATTGAACCCTGAGACAATCTGTGGGTTGTAATCAATATTGTAAAATATAAAAAATATGCTCACATGAAAAGCAAGTCCAGGAAACAAGCCTGATTAATCACAGTTATGATTATTATTGTTTTGTTTATTTTGTATTTTTTTAGAGATTTCTTTTTTTCTTTTTCTTCTTCTTTTAAAGATAAATTTTTTCCTCGAAATTTAACCTTATCAACAAAATCTCCTTTTAAGCTTTGTTCTTTTTGTCTGAGTTTCAACTAATATGTCACATGTTTTTTGTTCGAAGCACATCTGAATGACTAGTATACATTATCGTGATAATGAGTTTTAATTGTGCATTATATTTCAGTTCAACTTCGTAGGCCGTGTGATAGGGCCACGGGGTATGACATTAAGAGAAATCGAAAGTCAAACAGGATGCAAGCTGTTAGTGAGAGGGAAGGGCTCCATGAAAGATAAAAAGCTGGTGAGTGATAAGTGACAACAAATGGATTTTTTTATACAGCCTTTATGATATTATTTCCTTTTTCATTGTGTTTTGTGATCAACCTTGCTTTTTTTGTTATTATAAAAATACTGCTTTTACTTTTACTTATCTTTTGAGTTAATTCAAGCATTTAAAGTGTATATCAAGGAAGTTTTTTTTATTTTCAAAATCTATTTGAAGATATAAAGATTTGAAATATCAATATGCAAATGAGATGAAGTAAATTTAAGACTATATTATGCTATTTACTTTTGGAAGTAAATACTTGTGGAATTTAAGTACTGCTGTTTTTGGTTATTTGCAAATCTTCCTCATAACTGAAATACATGGCTTTGTACACTTTTAGGTTATTTCACTTCAGAATACTTGTCGTAAAATCACACTGCAAAATGTAACCTATTCTTGAATTTACGTCATCTCATTTGCATATTGATATTTCAAATGTTTGTATCTCTGAAAAAAGAATACCACTTACAAAACTACTGCAACCATAGAATATCTATCAGTCCTTATTAAACCCAAGAGGATTGGTTGGGTGGGTAATGGGTAGTTTAAAGTTGTATGGAGAAAAATTAAAAGTTGTATCTCTGACTTTTAATTTGATGTCTCATTAGTGTCAAGAAGGTAGATCTGATATTTTATTTGATGTTTTTGTTGCAGGAGGAAGAGAAACGAGGACAACCAAATTATGAACACTTAGATGAAGATCTTCATGTACTGATATCCGTTGAAGATACTGAGGACCGATGTCGTGTGAGACTTCAGAAAGCTGTCGACAGGGTACAACAGCTCCTGAGACCAGTGGTAAGCTGCTACCTTAAATTCTAGCTTAACCTCACTTAATACAAACACTAACTTAATATGGACACCCACTAAATAATGACACCCCTTAAATACAGACACCCACTAAATATGGATTGCCACTAAATATGGATTGCCACTAAATATGGACACTAAATTAATACCGACATGTACTAAATGCGGCACCATACTTTTATAGATACTTGTTTTGTGCCTGTGAATAACCTTTACTCTTACATTAACTGCTGTGTATGAAGACTGTTATTAGGGACGCTTGTTTTTGTCACTATAGATATCCTTTATACCTAATATTGACCTGTTTTGTGCAGAAACCTTGTTTTTCTTCTTTTTCCTTAGTAACAGGCATAGGTTTCCTCATTACTTCAAAAGTGTGCAGTCGTGAAAATATTTATCTGTCAGAGTTCCCCTTCCCACAAAGGATGTCAAGTTTTTTTTTCGTATCTTTTCTCCTTTACTTTTTGTCATCTTTTTATTCTATTGAAGGAGGAAGGAGAAGATGAAATCAAAAAGAAACAGCTCAAAGATTTGGCTTTACTCAACGGCACACTACGAGAACCAGGTGTACCAGGTAATGTTCTAATGATTGACATATGTCACTCAATCTGTTGATTGAATTAAAATTTCTTGGTGTTTTAAAATAACAGCTGTGGGATCAAGGCCTCAGCCTTAATGGTATCCAGTTATGATGACTTGATGCTGGTTTGTTTGATAGCGATCGTACCTTGCCATATATAACTTATCTAAAAGGCTTTAAAATTTTTTTGTAAAGCTTATTGTTACTTAATATGTTGTTTTAATGTTATTGGTTTAAACATAGTTAATAGAGGAGAATGGTTAGCAAACCTATTGTTATCAGGTCTTTGTTTGCTTGTGAGGTTGAACCGGTCTTGACTAAAGAGAGGCATCATACAAATCAGGAAATATTTTACCAATCAACTATTTACTTTATGCAGAACCATGCAGTACTGAATGTATTGTCAAAGGGTTCATTTGCACTTTAACAATTCCCTTAAGTGGTAAACGGACTTCAACACTGGGAGATTTAAAGATGACATGGATTCGAACGACTTAACAGTAATTCTCTTTTATACACCAAGAATGTAGTTTTGAGAGTAGGCTTTTTTATGGGTTCTTTAGTTTTCTTTCTTTCTTTTCATGTGTTCTCTCCCTTGCTACAAGATCTTTACTCCAGTTTTTCTTTCTCGAAAAATTCAATATGTGAGTAAAGTGATGGGTGTTGTAAATATTAAATATTGAGGTAATTAATGCATGTGAAGCGAACCCCACAGCGAACTCCTACAGGGAATGATGGCAATTTAAATTTTATCATTATTTTTTTAGCATGCGGACCAACCATTTTAAAAAACAAAAAAATATAGTGAATCAAATTATGTTATAGTTCAGTTAGTTTGGGACAAGCGGAGAAACGAGTGGAGTTATCGTCCAGCAATCAAATTTTATTTCATTGTTCTTCATTAGTCCCCTTCACAGTTCCCTGCTCCATCTTGAAAGGTAACCGTGCCTTTGCATAGAAGCGAGACAAACAGTGAGCTTGCAACGATAGAGACATGTGAATAATTGTTCAAGGTGTTTAAAAAAGGTCTCTATCATTGCAAGCTCACCGTTCGTCTCGCTTCGATATGCAAAGGCACGGCTACCTTTCAAGATGGCACAGGGAACTGTGAAGGGGACTATTGTTTTCGTCCCTTTACTTGGAATAAAGTTAGTTTACATTTCCAAGTCTGGTTGTTGTGAATTTGTCAGTTCACATCTAGATGGTTAAATGTGTAGTTTTCTTTTGATTTTCAGTTGGTGGAGCCCCACCAATAGTACCAGGTGGTCTACTAGGAATGCCGATACACCAAGGACTAACAGGCTACCAACTCACTCGGCATCCAGGTAAATGATACTGTAGTGTCTTAAACTGTCATCCAGTACAAGTCACACAAGGGTTTTAAAACTTTTGACTTTCAGCCGAGTGAAATAATTTTTTTTTGTTACATTTCCATTATTACATTTTCTACTATTAGAACATTTATATATTAAAACACCATTTTTTATAAAATTGCTCTAAGGTCTTGTTTTTTATAGCAACATATGAAATAATGATAAATGTTGATAATAATATTGGTGTTATGTTTTTGTTCTTTGTAGTACCTGCAGCATACCACACCCATTTAACAGGCCTGGAATTTCCCTATGCCGCAGGTCGTCCAGGAACTATACTCGACTACCAGGCCTTACTGGAACCATCAATACTGGGTAAAAAAGATCATTAAAGAATAAACATAAAATAACTGTTATAAATGTCACGTGATTGATTGGGACTGATGCTTTATGAGAGTATGTGTGCGCACTTTCACTTGTATCATTGCTTTCCAAACTAATTCTACTGTGCTGTTTGAAATTGCAAAGCACTTGGGGATCGGCAGAACATTTGAGTAGCACTCTGCTAGGCGTCGTGCTTCTCTTAACCCTTCCCTCGTGTTCTGCCAATCCACGTTATAACTGCATACAACACGTCAGACGTTTTTTATTTCTTCCATTATTCGAGCTTTATGAAGAGATTTGAGCATATTTCTTTACTCTACTTGGTTTGTAAAATAAGGGATCCATAATTGAAACAAATTCTAAAACTGCATTTTTAGAAACCTTATAAAGCTGTCTTCCGAGCTGCAATTTTTTGATGAAAATGGATAAAAGAGAAAGGAGTGTATTGTGTTACTTTTTCTAGTTTCCAAAATGCTAGGGACTGTGTAGAGGGAAGACGGAGGAGCTGGGGGCTGTAGTCCACACTTTTTGCTAAAATCCACAAAATTCTCAGCCCTCATTTCTAGTAATAAGTATTGACAAGTGAAACAAAGGTGAAGTAGCGGTAAGCTTGCTCGCCTCTCACCAATGCAACCTAGGTTCAGGCCGTGCCGAACTTGGTGTTGAATGTGAATAGAGTTTTTTGTCAGTTCTCTCCCCTGTGCTTCAAGGGTTTTGCTCCAGGTTTTCCTCCCTCCACAAAAATCAACTTCAAAATTCTAATTCAATCTTTCAGTTGTCTTGTAATTGGGTCCTTTAGACTTGTAAGGTTTTCCATCCGCCTCAGAGTGGCAAAGTTGAATAAAATTCATTCAAATTAAATAAATAAATGTGGCTGTTGTGTTGTAAAGGTCCATGCATACTAGTCTTGGTCAGTAGCAGATCCAGGGGTGGTTCCAAGGGTTCCATGAAACACCCCTTTGTAAAGATGATCATGTTCTTGAAGCTCACTAGAATAAAAATATGAAAATTCCCCTTCACAGTTCTCTGTGCCATCTTGAAAAGAACCATGCCTTTTCATCTAAGTGAGACTAACGGTGAGCTCGCAATAATAGGGACCTGTGAATAATTGTCCAA